CACTCCACCCCGAGGCCTCGCTGGGCCTCTTCCCCTGTGGCCTCCCTGGCACTGTGCCTCTTCCCCCCCCCCCCGCCCCACCTTGCCCTCGCTTCGCATCTTTCCCCAACCCCTTCTCCCACCTCTCCAGGGGAGGGAGCAGACAGGCACAAACGGCAGGCAGAGGAGGAGGAGAGGAGCAAGCAGTAGGGGATGGGCGGGTCTGGGGGGAAGCGTCCGAGTGGGGGAGGGAAGAGGCAGAGTGGGAGTTGGGCCTCCGGGTGGAGCGCAGACGGGGCCTGGGGCGGAGCAGAAGGCGGGGCCACAGACCCAGCAGCAGTACCCCTCCCCCACTTCTAGGGAACTTCGGACACTCGCTCCCAGCCTCCCCAAAGGCAAGAGTCAGGTGCTGCCTATGGGGGAGGGGAGGCCATACGCCCATCAGAGCCCCCAGCCCTGGGGCCAGACAGGGCAGTTGTGCTCACCCACTATCTTGCTGTCCTCTCTCTCCAGGTAGCGCTTCCACATCTGGTTGGCTCGTTCGTCATCACTAGGAGGGAGACAATAGTGGGGGGCTGCTGAGGGAGGAACCCCAAGGGCAGCTCCCTCCACACACTAGCCTGGGCTCTCCGCAGCCCCTTTGCGAGGCAGCCAGGGGCGGGGTTGTGCCTTGGGGGCTCCTATCCTGCTGGCGGGGCTGAGACTCCCCAAACTCCTCCCCCCCCAGGCCCCAAGCAGGCAGCCCCCAGGCTGAGAGCAGACCATGTGCTATTGTCAATCTCCTCCCCACCTGCCCCCTTGCCCCCGCCGCAGGCTCCCTGCCCCCTGGGTGACAATGCAGCTGCTGGGAGGGGAGCCTGGGAATCCTACGCCCCAAATCCACTGAGAGCTGCCTGCTGGCCCTGGGGCTCTCGCCGCTCCTGTCCCCGGGGCCTAAGCCAAGGCTAGACTAACCAGACCCAGCCAGGACACTGGCCTGGTTCCCGCCCCCTTGAGCCCCCAGCCCCAGCCGGGCAGCGACGGAGTCCTTGCCAGGGGCAGTCCTGCTGCTTTCAGACCCTCAGTGCAGGGCTACAAGGACCAGCTCACAACACGAGCCACATTTCGCTGCGTCCCTGGGAGTTGCAGCCCCCGACCAGCTCAGCCTGCTCACCTCAAGGGGTCCGAGTCCTCTAGCACCGAGGGCCGTTTGGTATCAGAGAGGATGCTGGGAGTTTTGCGCCCCTTCCTGTTGATCTCCACGTGCAGCCGGTCCATGAAAAACTTCAGGAACTCCTGGGCATCCTGCTGGCTAGAGACAGGAACGGCCAGTCAGCCCCACCCCACCCTTCAAGAGCTTCCACACACTGCATCCCCTACCCCAGACCCACATCCTCCACACATGGGTCCCCAGCCCCAGCCCCCACCACACACTGGGTCCCCAGCCCTGCCCCCCAGCACCCTCCACACACTGGGTCCCCTCCCCCAACCTCAGCCCTGTCCCCAGCCCCCTCCATACACTTGGTCCCCTCCCCCAGCCCTGCCCCCCAGGACCCTCTACACAATGGGTCCCTCCCCTGGCTTCAGTTCTACCACCCAGGACTGTCCACATTCAGGGTCCCCTCCCCTGGCCGCACAGCTCTCAATACTCAAGATTCATCAGCAGTGGGGCTTTCCCTGCAGCTCTGGCAGCCAGGCCCTGCCCCCCCCCCTGCGCTTGCCCCCCCCCCCCCCCCCACTCAGCACATCACCCTGCCAGGGCAGAGGAGCAGAGCTCTGGCAGGCTGCTGCGGGAAAGGGACTGTCAGGCAGGACCCAGAGGAGGTCCTGGCTGCTCTGCACAGACCTGACATCGCAGGGATCCCATGCCCTGGCCAGACCGGTTCCTCCCAGGTGCACACTATGCTGGCTGCTAAACTCTGCCCAGAGGTGGCTGCATTCCCATGGTGCTCTGGGACGGCCCCTCCCCATGGCTGTGGGAGAAGGGGTCCAGGGCGCACATGGAGCCCTCTCACCTGTAGCCTGTGAAGGACGGGACGTATTTCTGAAAGACGGCTTTGAAGCGCCCGGGGTTCACAGCTTCGGTGGAGTCTGGGTGCCACAGGGAATTGATGACATCTGCAAATGCTGAGGGGAGACAAGCCACCAGCCACGTTACCCCACCTGCACCGCCCCACAGCCAGCTCACTCACCCCAGCTGGCATGGCAGCCATGGGGTGGGGGAGCGGGATTCCCTGCCTCTGGGGAGGGGCCAATCTCCAACTGGACCGTGCTGGAGCAGCCCTGGGGGCGGGGGGGGGAGGGGGAAGCAGGAAATATCCCCAGACCCACAGGGTATTGCTGCTCCCAAACCCCTGCATGTGGCACAGACTGGGGGACAGGGAGGGGTGAAGGAACAGCTAGATGGGGTCAAAGGGAGCGTAGGACAGTGAGCGGAGCCCAGGAGGAGTCAGGATGCCTGGATCCTATTCCTGACTCTGCCACCAAGATCTCTCCCCCATGCTTCGTGACGGCCCTCCAGCCTTGCCCTTGCCCTGCGGTGCCCAGAGCGATACGGACACACTCAGCACTCAGGGCCCATCCTCCATACGCCTGTGCCCACCCCGCTCCCATGCTGGGCACAGTATCACTACTGCCACAGCAGGGAATTCAGCCCTGCTGCTTATGTAACCAACTTTCCAGCTGGCCTCACTTCAGCAGGGTGCTTACATAACCCTGGTCACTGGCGCGGGGATTAGCTCCCACGGCAGCCAGCCCCAGGCCCCAGGGAGCTCCTGGGCAGCGAGCCAGCTGTGTGAGCGCAGGACTGGGGAGCAGCAGGGAGGCGTCCGGCCGGCTCACCTACCTTCCGTGAGCTCCTGCTGGGCCCGCGAGGCGCCGGGCTGCTCCTGGAGGAACTCCTTGCGCAGGCAGTAGTCACGCAGAGGCTTGGTGCTGCTCAGGCACTGGAGCACAGCGTTCATGAAGCACTGCAGGGGCACAGGTAGGCAGTCACAGTGGGCCCCACGCCCCAGGCACTGGCTCCCCCAGCCGTCTGCATGCAGCACCTGGGCAGCTGGGATTGGCCAGCCCAGGAGGGGCTGTAGTTCCTACTGGACAGGCGCCATGGAGAGCGGCGAGCCCACAGAGTGCAGGCACGTGGGCACTGGGCCCCACCGTTACCCCTCTCAGCCAGCTCACCCTGCCAAGCTCTGCTCCAAGCATCCCCCTCCAAACCCGGCCATCCTGACAGCTACAAGAGGGTGCTCTTGAAGCCACAGATCTCTTGCCACTGTGCAGAGACCGGGCTGGCTGGCAGCAGATGTAGCAGGGGCACCAATGGGCTCCCAAAGGAGGGGGCCACCCGCAGTGAAGCGGATCAATGCTGGTGATGGGGAGGAGGGTCCCTAGAGATCAAACCCCCCAACACCACCAGGAAGACAGTCACTGGCCATGTGCAGCTGCTCAGCCACCTCCCCAGCTAGACTCAAGCTGCTGCTACTCATTGCTGCACCAGGGCCTCTTGGAGCCTCTCACACAACACAGGCAGAACTCGCCTCAGCCAAACCCCTGCCACCTGGGCTACAGGAGAATCTCCATCAGCAGCACAGGGCCTCTGACACACAGCAGTGACACAGTGCTAGACACAGCAGGGTTTGGGCAGAGGGCCAGAAAGCCCCCAGAGCAGCCTGGGATGGTTTAGTGCCCTCCAGCGCCGGGGCTGCAGGGAACAGCACATAGGCAACAAGCCCAGGGGGTGCAAAGGGAACCACAGCTGGGTGGGAAAGGTGGCAGCAGGTGAGTCAGCTCCACTCACAGCACAACTGCTGGCTCCTCCATGCAACACAGGCACAGCCCTTTGATTGGATTCAACGGGGTCTTTGTATCGGCATGTGCAGGCTCTGGCCCACCACACTGCTGGCAGTAACAGGCGCAGCCCCTGATCACCGCCCCCATCCGCCTGTCCCAGCCCAAGGGCTCCGGGAGCCCATCTGCACTGCTGGAGAAAGGCTGCTGCACTCCCAATCCCACCAGGATTAAAGCAGGCAGGCAGGCGCTGGCTCAGATGGCGGCAGTGGGAGAACAGTGGCCGGTGAGCAGTATTCCAAGGGTGCTCATCGCATCAGGGAAGGGACAGACCTGGGAACACCGAGGAAGGGACGACTGGGGGAGGTTACATAGACCATGATGACATTAGACTCATGTGAGAAACTACAGCACTCAGCGACCTCAGATCTCCTTGGTGGGGCACCCTCACATAGCACATCAGGGAATCATGGCCCCAGTCATGTAGAAACCAGGCAGCCCAGGTCGCCATTCTCTGCACTTTGCATCACTGACTCGAGTACAAAGCGGGTGTGAAACACCATGGTGCAGTGCTCATCTTGCCCTGGTGTGAACAATGGTGAGGGCTGCACAGGGAGAATCAGGCCTGAACTGGGCACAGCAGAGGGGGGTGCAATGCGGGGAGGATGTGCTACCTCGAGTCTTCCCAATTCCAGCCCCTCTGCATGTCAAACACTTTCCCAGGCACCAACTGATATTTTTGACACCATCAAACACAGGCTAATGGCTTTTCAAAAAGCCTTCTACAGGGGACATCCTGCCCCCCAGCGTCTGTGTGTGTGTGGGGGTGTCCCGCTGCCCAGGGTTCCCCAGCACTGAACGCCGGGTGCTTACCGTGTTGCCAAGATTGCGGAGTCCAATGTGCCCAGAGCCCAGGAGGAGGGTGTGGTGTGTCTGAGAAGACGAGAGAGAGACGGGATGAACACCTGGGAAAGGGACTGCAAAGCATGAGCAGGAAGAGTCCGTGCCGTAATACTGTAAATAGGTTGATCTCTACCTCATGTCTCCCCAGGAGGATGGCCACACATGGCCAGCCCATCCATAGACACAGCCAGCCCAACCCATTCCCTCCACACACACATGCACACAGCCAGCTCATGGCCCCCAGAGGCTGGAGGTGTCCCACTGCCTACAGCCAGCAGAAGGAAGAGCATGGTGCATTACCTCACTGGTCATCAGCAGCAGCCCCATCACCGCGGTGTGCACCACCGACTCCGAGATATCCGCCCCCTTGCCCTGCAGCTCTCGTTTGGTGGCCAACGTGCGGTGCAGCTTTCGAGGCAGCTCCACCAGGGTGGCTCCCTGCAGGCCTGGCATGGCTCCTGCCACACGGAGGAGCGGGCAGCCGGAGCGCTGAGCTTGCCTTGCGGCACCAACTGAAGGGACCATAGGGCCCTCCCTCTGCCTCTATAAACCATCAGCTCATTAGCTGATCCGATTTCCCCTGGCTATTCCGGGCCCTGCTCGAGGCTCATCTCTGTGGGATTAATTAGCAAGGAGAGCTACTTTGGGGACAATGGGTGTTTGAAGAACCATGGAACAGAGAAGGAAAATACAACCAAACACTCACCGACCATGCAGCAGGCACAGCACACTCCTAGAAGGGATGGGGGTGGGGGAGAAACCAGCTACCCCGGGCTGACCTGTCTCAGGGCTGCCATAGTGCACTGGATTGCTAGGTGGGCACATGCCAAGCTTCTGCACAGCCGGCTAGCCCTGCCTGGGGCGACAGGCTATGCCTAGTGGTCAGCCCCATGCCTGTGCTCAGACAGATTACATAAGAGATTTCCTAGAAGGAACTGATTACACTTCCAGCCAGTGCTTGGTGGACACACCTGGGAGGTGCTTTTGCTAGGGAAGATGAGGAGCTGCAGGCAGGGACTGAGGGGAAGGTCTGGGTCAGGCCATGGGGGAATCCCAAAGCTGGTAGCTCAAGATTTGAGTGAGCATTTGGACAGTTTCGGCCACTTTGATCACCTGGGGCAGAGCCTTGGACATCAGATCTGTTGTAGGGGATACTCCTGCAGTAGCCAGAGAGATTGAGGGGCCATTGCTGATCTCTGTGGTTTTGCACATCACTCACCGCCCCCCCATCACACATCCCAGAGTCTCCTGGATGAGCAATCCAACAATTGTCGGGGCATCTGTTAACTTCACACGCAATCCCACTAGCTAGATGTCTTCACTGAAACCACGAGCTGGTTCTCTGCCCCTCCCACCCCGAGGGCCCCCCAGCCGATGGAGCGCTGGATGCAGTTCCTGGAGCAGCCAAAGTCGCTGCTGCGAGGCAAGTCAGGGCCCATAGGGATATCATCCACGCTGGGACTGCTTGCTTGCTGGCATGCCATGCTCCTGCTCAGCAGAGCCAGAGACCCCCCCAGACTTCCTGCAGGCCCGGCGACTAAATTCTGATGCAGCCCGGTCCCCACAGGCTTGCACGTGTATGAGGGCAGATAGGAGGATGCTGAAAGCATGGTGTGGTGGAAGGATGCTCCTGGGAGAAGCACGGCCAGACAAGGGACTCAAAAAATCACTCCACCTCCAAGTCCCAGCTGCCAACCTTGCTGAGGCATATCACCCTCCCGCCAACCCAGCACACCCGGCTATTCTGCCTCCTGGCAGCGTCGTTCTGACAGCAGCAACTCTGTCGCTAGCTCTATGGGAGGCAGAGTGCTCAGCTGGACGGGCAGACCGGGAGAGTCCATGGTGGCGCTGGCTTTCCACTTGCCTGCTCAGCAGGTTGAAGCTGGAATCACAGCGACCACAAGTTCATTTTCCCAGGATCCCACCCACAAGGTGCTGGGTTCTCATGGAACGAGGAGGCTGGGGGCAGCTTGGGGCAAAACCACAGAGCACCAGGGCTCAAGGGGGAGCCTTTGGCCTAGACTCCACCATGGAAAGTAAGGGCTGGGGCAAGATGGGAGAAAGCCCCCCTCCCCCTTGAGGAAGCCCCAGATTGGAGCCCCCAGACATCAGGCCAGGTACTGCCACTCTCTAGCAGTCTGCAGTAACGAGGCTCATCCACCCCAGCAGGCCTGGGAGCAGAGCACAGGGAGGATGGCAACGCGGAGTGCTACCCGCCCCGCTCAGTAGATGTCAAACAGCAATTACAGCAGACACCTTCTTGTCGGGCCTGCTCGGAGCTGGAGGCGGTACCTTGCCCTGGGGTGGGCTCCCAGCCACTGGGACATCCTGGGGGTGCACGTACTCGGAGACCTGAGGATCGGGGGTGTGCGTCCTGGTGCAGCCCTCAGTGCGGACAGAGAGCATTGTGCCTGCGGGCTTCCCATCCAGCCCAGGAGACACATTGACCCTCCTGAGCGAGGAACTCCGCTGGAGAGCCAAGGGCCCCAGGCCCAGCTTCTGGCTGCAGGACGGGCTGCGGTCCCGGAGCACCAGGCGGCTGAGCACCATGCTCAGCTCCTCCCCTCGCCCCCCCGCTTGGCTCAGGTCCCCAATGCTGATAGACTTGGAGCGGGCGAGGTTGTTTCTCCTACGCTCAGAGTCTCGTTCCACCAGCAACACTCCTGATGGCAGGGAGAAGGAGGCGCTGCCTGACATGGTGCCAGGCTGTGGGGAGTTGGGCACCTTGACCGCATGGTCAGCCTTCACCGGCCCTCGCCTGGGCACCGAGCCCCGCAGCTGGTCGTTGCGCTTCGAAGCACGGCCCCTTTCAAGCTCCTGCTTCTTCCCCCGATCGTCCAGCGGGCTGGGCCGGGGAGGCAGCGGGTGAAGCTTGGGAGCCATGGAGAGCCCATTGGCCAGTGCAGGGGAGACTGAGGTGTGGCGTTCCTGGCTCACGGCCCGGTGTCCGTTCAGGAGCTTGGTGGTGGCCTTGGGCTGCGATGTGATGACCTGCTCTCTAGCCCGGCTGACCCGGTGTTCAGAGGCCTGGGGCATCGTAGAGACAATGAAGAGGAGAATCCTGGGGAGACAGGAGAAAGACGAGTCAGCGCGGCAGATCAAAGCCAGTGTCACTCAAATGGAGCCCAGCTACCAGGAGGCAGGACTCCAGGCTGCCAATCCCAGCTCCAGGAGGGGAGTGTGGTCTAGTGGGTTCAGCAAGGGAATGGGAGACCAGGCTCCTGGATTCCAGCGCCGACTCCCTGTGTAACTTGGGTGGATTCTCTGGAATTCGAAGCTGGCTAGCTGCATTATGGAAAGCAGAAACCTTCCTCTGCAGCATCAGGTACTAGCCACGGCTGAGGCGCAGATGCTGGGCTGCAGGGACCGGGGCGCCGAGGCAGCACAACCAGACATACCTCTCACAATCTGCGAGCGTCTCTTCCCCACCAGTGCCAAGCTCACACCCCTCCACGGTGGCTGTCCAGGTGGAGATTCCCATTGGCTGAGGCCCTAGAACACAAGACAGGATGATCCAGGCACAGGCTCCCATGGCAGTTTCATCCAGGACTTCTGGCCACCAGAATCTCTGGGAAACCCTCTGAAAGGCAACAGAGCCCAGCCCAGAGCGGCTCAAACTGGTCCGTGTCACAAGGGAAAGGGAGGAAGGGTCTGCAGTGAGACAAGCCCCATGGGACTCCACCCACCAGAGCAGGATACTGCACATCTGGGCGGGAAATGATGCGGTAGCCTCAGGAGGGCAACAGGTGGTGCTGCTAGTGAAGAGAGAAAGCTGGGCACAGGCTCTCCCTATCCCACAATGCACCAGCACCATCACACAGCAGAGCCAGGAGTGACTGCGCCTAGCTAGAGGCGGCATCACACCATCTACCCCCCTTTCCGCTCTGCTTCGAGGACAGTCTCCTGAGACGGCCTTTTACTCCCCTTTCAGCAGGTTTTCAAGGGAGAGAGTTAATGGGCTCTGGTGCCTTCCAGCCAAGACCACCAAGCTCCAGGCAGGTGTAACTAAGGGTATGTCGACGCTGCAGTGAAAACCCCCGGCCGGCCTGTGCCAGCTGACTCAGGCTAAGGTGCTGTTTAATTGCAGTGTAGATGTTCAGGCTCAGGCTGGAGCCCTGGCTCTAGGACCCTGCGAGGTGAGAGGGACCCAGAGCTGAGGCTGCAGCCCAAGCCCAAACATCTACACCGCAGTTAACAAGCTCTTAGCCCGAGCCCTGTGAGCTCAAGTCAGCTGGCACGGACCAGCCATGCGTGTCTAATCACAGTACTGACATAACCTCCGAGGCCTTGCCGCTAACTGCAGCTAGGTGGTTTGTGCAGAAGGAGCCACTGATCTTGCTGCAATTACTGAGCAGGAGCCTGCACCACATGGGGATCAATGGGTGCCTTGTGTCAGTCTGACAGAGAGGCCAAGGGCTGAACAGGCCCTGGTGACCAGACTCCTCTCCTGCAGGGGTCTCTCCATGGCATGGCTAAGGCCCATCAGCGGTCCCAGTTTGCTCTCCATTCGGACTTTTCCCCACACGGTGCTACTGTCAAACCCCCTCACCTCTCACTCAACTGAGCTGAGGTATTTGGGCAAGTGAGGCTCTCATTGTTCGCTGAACTACAGAGGTGATTAGGGTGAGTCACTGAGCCTCTAGTCAGGACGTGGGTTGCCAGTTACTCCCACCAACCGCCTCTGGCAGGTGCTGGGCTTTGCCAGTGCAGAGCTCATAACCAGAAGCAGTGCCTCATATTGGCAAAGAAACTTACTAATTCCCCACCCCCGCTCTCTAGAACAGGAGCACTGGCCCATTCCTGCCTTCTGGCATCCGGCACAGAACAGTGGAGAGGGCACAGACCCCACACAATGAAGCCAGCCAATACTTGGCATATAGGATCGAAGAGAGCTAGAAGCCTTAATTAGGGTCCATCGGCACAATTCTGTACACTGTCGTTAACTGGCTAATGTGTATGCATAATGCTGCCATCTTCTGCATGGAATCAGACCTACCCAGCTGTGTGTCATAGGCCCGATATTCACAAAAGCTAATGGGGATTCCCTTTTAACTCAAATAACAGAGGTCTATGCTTTTGGAGCAGGAGGATCAGTGTTTTTTCTATCCCTGATGTCATCATGAAGTTCCTACCGGTCCAGCATAATGGCAATTGGGAAGCCACAAACGTGTCACAATAGCAAATCTCCGCAATACATATTGAGATAAGAGGAGCACGATTCGTTTGCGATTTGCTTCAGAAAAACCAGCACAGGCCCCTGCTACTGCTCAATGGCCTCAAGACAGAGTATGTGGCATTTCAGAAAGGGAAAGCACAGGGGAGTGCCATGAACTGGGACACCAGGCCAGGGCTTCAGAGCAGCTGGCCAGTCAAAGCCAAGTCATATGACACTTCCCCTTGCAAGTAGGATGGCGCAGTGCGCAGACTCTGCCCATCTGAGCATGGCATTGGTCAAGTTGCCAGGAGCCCAAGGGCTGCCCAAAATTTGTATAAAATGGAGAAAGCTGCATCCGCCTTCCATCTTATACATAGAGGTGCTGCCCACAGTGACTACAGATCCCAGCATGCAGTGCTCCCTCTCAATCTAAGCAGCCATGCTGCATGGCTGGCTGGGACCAGTAGTCTCTTCAGGCCGCACTTCCACGGACAGCGCCAGACAGCAAAGACTTTTCATTTCCCAGACAGCAAGGACTTTTCATCTCCTGAGGCAATCTCTGTATGGATCACTCAAATAAAGAACATTTATTTTCAAAACTTTCTGTGATGTTCCCCCACCAGCCACGCTCACCTCCGTCATTCCTCATCCTACCCAGTTCACACACCCCTTGCTGCCAGCCAGCCTGCCCCTTGCCTGAAGGGAGAGAACTCAAGTACAAGGGGCAGGGCAGTGTCCTTGTGCAGAGCCCAGCTACTGATCATTCCAGCCTTCCCTCACCCTGCCCCCCAAACCACATCTACTCTATGTGACCTCCAGCTCCCTAGAGACCCCCTACAGCCCCAGCCCCCATACACCATTCCATAACCCTATGCAGAGGCATCTATCCATCATCCCACAGCCCCTAGAGAGAGAGCAATCACCCCTATATACAGCCCCCATATATATATATATATATATTACACCCCCATATGGAGGCCCCAAACCTCAATCCCCTATATACAGCCCCCTATATATATACATTATCCCCTATATGCAGGCCCCAACACCCTATAGAGTAACCCCCTATATACAGCCTCCCATACATACATTATCCCCTATATGCAGGCCCCAACCCCCTATAGAGTAACACCCATATATACATTACACCCTATATGCAGGCCCCAGCCCCAAGAGAGTAACCCCCATATACAGCCCCCCTATATACCTCACCCCCATCCCTACAGCCCGAGGAAACCCCCCTAACACCACATACCATGGAGGGTGCCCACCCCCTCCGAGGCCCTGGGAGGTGGGTCGGACCCTACCTCCTGCAGGACGCCATAGCAACAACTCCCGCACCAGAAGCCGCCATCTTTGTTTCTGTCCCCGCTGCCCGGCTACAAGTTACTTCGGTCGACTCATGGCGCATGCGCTGCCATCCGCAGCCTTCTGCTTCTAGGCCTAGTCTGCGCGTGCGTCACCGGCCTGCTCTAATGACACATCCCGTCGCCATGGAGGCAGAGCGGCGTCCCCCCTACCCTTAAAGAGACAGTAGCACTAACAGGGAAAGTTACAGTAGGCTCGCCGAGGCTCCGGCTGCTGCTGTTCAAGGGGGCTTTGGCACCCGATTATCGCCACAAGCCCCCCCCAGTCTGAGACATGTGAGGGGGCACCTGTGCTGGGGGCACGGGATATACCACATCCCCTGGGGGGACGCCTGTGCTGGGGGGGCAGGGTGTGGGACATAGCACGTCCCCTGATGGGGACCCCTGTTCTTGGGGCTCAGGGGACACACCACGGTGTTAACCCTAACCATGTCCCCTGGGGACCCCTGTGCTGGGGGTACTGGACATACCACATCCTGTGGGGCCCCCTGTGCTGGGAGGTGTGGGACACACTACATCTATGCTACCAGGGTGGGGAGATGCAGCACTAGATGTGTAAGTAAAAGGGTTAAGCCAGCCTGCCCACTGAGGACATGTCTCTTGGCATACCTATAGGGTACATTGGCATGTCCCGTACCCCCTCCCAAATGCAGGGGTCCCCAGGGATACGGCGGGGAAATACTACACTAGTGATCAACGGCTCCATGTCTAGTTGGCAGCCAGTTTCAAGCGGAGTGCCCCAAGGGTCGGTCCTGGGGCCGGTTTTGTTCAATATCTTCATTAATGATCTGGAGGATGGCGTGGACTGCACTCTCAGCAAGTTTGCAGATGACACTAAACTGGGAGGAGTGGTAGATACGCTGGAGGGTAGGGATAGGATACAGAGGGACCTAGACAAATTAGAGGATTGGGCCAAAAGAAACCTGATGAGGTTCAACAAGGACAAGTGCAGAGTCCTGCACTTAGGACGGAAGAATCCCATTCACTGTTACAGACTAGGGACCAAGTGGCTAGGCAGCAGTTCTGCAGAAAAGGACCTAGGGGTTACAGTGGACAAGAAGCTGGGTATGAGTCAACAGTGTGCCCTTGTTGCCAAGAAGGCTAACGGCATTTTGGGCATTGCCAGCAGATCGAGGGACATGATCGTTGCCCTCTATTCGACATTGGTGAGGCCTCATCTGGAGTACTGTGTCCAGTTTTGGGCCCCACACTACAAGAAGAATGTGGAAAAATTGGAAAGAGTCCAGTGCAGGGCAACAAAAATGATTAGGGGGCTGGAGCACATGACTTATGAGGAGAGGCTGAGAGAACTGGGATTGTTTAGTCTGCAGAAGAGAAGAATGAGAGGGGATTTGATAGCTGCTTTCAACTACCTGAAAGGGAGTTCCAAAGAGGATGGATCTAGACTGTTGTCAGTGGTACCAGATGACAGAACAAGGAGTAATGGTCTCAAGTTGCAGTGAGGGAGGTTTAGGTTGGATATTAGGAAAAACTTTTTCACTAGATGGGTGGTGAAGCACTGGAATGGGTTACCTAGGGAGGTGGTGGAATCTCCTTCCTTAGAGGTTTTTAAGGTCAGGCTTGACAAAGCCCTGGCTGGGGTGATTTAGTTCGGATTAGGTCCTGCTTTGAGCAGGGGGTTGGACTAGATGACCTCCTGAGGTCCCTTCCAACCCTGATATTCTATGATTCTATACACTAAACTTGTGCGTGGCTGAGATCCGCTCATGGCTGAAGAAGAGCTGGCTGAAGCTGAATTCGAGGAGGACAGAGGTGGTGCTGGTGCAGAGGATAGTATTTTCCAGAGTTTGCAGCCACGATGCAGTCTCCTTTGACTGAAGGGTCACATCTGCAATTGGCTAATTCCGTCTGTCAACTTAGGAGTACTCTTGGGTTCCTTGCTGATGCTGAGCGCTCACATAGCAACTGCCCAAGTAACACTTTCCACCATCTCTGGTTGGCTGGGAGACTCTGTCCCACCTTGGCAGATGATGACCTGACCTAAATTATTCACGTCTTCGTCACCTCTCAGCCGGATGGCAGCCAGGTGATAGGCTGGGCATGAAGGCTTTGGCACTCAGGAAATTCCAACTGGTACAGAACATTGCAGCCGCGTCTCTTCAGCAGTACAGGCTGCCACAAGCACATCAGATCCATCCTCTGCTCCCTATGCCAGCTGCCACAGAAAATCAGACCAAGTTCAAGGTTGCGGTCTTTATCTTCAAAGCGCTCCATGCCCTGGGCCCAGAATACTTAAAGACCGTTAAGAGCTCCAGGATGAAGACCGTGGTCAACAACTTCACTCCTCTGGCTCAATGGAGCTCTCAACTATAAGAGTAAAGCCTGTCTGGGCAGGAGACAGAACTTTCTCCAGGGCTGCCCCGAGACTGTGAATGAATTCCCCTGAGAACTAAGAACCGTCACAAACCATGTCACTTTCCACTCCAAGTGTGAGGCATATTTCTTTGCCCCGCCTTCTCTAACAGAAACACATGGCAACAGGCATAGTTATAAATGGTAATAATCGTAACCATCAAATAAAATTTAAAAGAAAGCCTATGAAAACAAGACTCCTCTGCACATGCTTCTCCTGGGCAGAGAAGGAAAGACCAAGCAACAGGTAACACGTCGGTTACAGTGCAAACTTCTGGTGCTGATCAATGGATATTTATAGTTTCAACAAACACCTGTTTGATATTTCTGTGTGTTCTAATTCTGAAGAGCTCATGCTGCTGGCCCCCCCCCCCCACATCAATATCCCTTTGTACCACACTGAAACAGCAGTATATGTGGGCTGTGAAATTGGCAAAAAGCCTTTCCCCTGTTCCACAAACACTGCCCTGCAGACAGTTATCCCCATTACCGTGAGATTTTAACACTATCAGCACTTTCTGTAACAAGGAAGAGGGAGTGTGCTGTGGGAAGGGGGTGTATTGCGGGGGAGGGGGCTGGGTGGGAGGAGGTGATCCATAATGCAGCCATTCAGAATGGATTTAATGCTTTTTCTCTGTGTTTTATACACACAACTTCAGTGGCTGGAAGCTGAAGCTAGACAAATTGAGATGGAAATGAACCGTACATTTTTAACAGTGTGAGTAATTAACCATTGGAACAGCGTACCAAGATTTGTGGTGGATTCTCCATCACTGGCCATTTTAAAATGAAGATTGGATTTTTTTTAAAAACCACGTGCTCTAGTTCAAAATACATTATTTTGGGGCAGGTCTCTGGCCTGTGTTATCCAGGAGGGCAGACTAGATGATCACAGTGGTCCCTTCTGGCCTTGGAATCTATAAATCCATGAAAACAGGTCTGTATGTTCCCATGGAGAACCGCTGCTTGGTGATCCCAGACACAGCTGAAGATGCCAGAGAAAAACCAACTGCTTCTTCAAGGAACTTTTCGTAGGAGTTTGGGCCAGTTAAATAAACGGATAATCTGCAATTCTCTTTCCCATTTGTTAGTTTGCAGCCACACAATAGTTTGTATTTCCAGTATGTTTGGGTGCATGATGTAGCTGTGCAATAAAGCACTGGCTGGTTTGAATGTATCTATGCTTCAAGTGGCTTATCTGTGTAATAGGATCCATGTTCAGGGAAGTTCTCTGGCCCGTGTTCTGCTGGTGCTGGAGGTCAGGCTAGATGATCACAATGGTCCCTTCTGGCCTTAAACTATGAATCTCAGTTACTTTGAATATCTGTTTAGCTGTTTTGGGAAGAGAGAGGAATGGGGTACAGCAGTGGCTCTCAACCTTTCCAGACGACTGTACCCCTTTCAGGAGTCTGATTTGTCTTGCGTACCCCCAAGTTTCACCTGACTTAAAAACTACTTGCTTATAAAATCAGACATAAAAATACAAGTGTCACAGCCACACTGGTACTGATAAATTGCCAACTTTCTCACTGCTACCATATAATTATAAATCAATTGGAATATATTGTACTTACATTTCAGTGTATAGTATACAGAGCAGTATAAACAAGTCATTGTCTGCATGAAATGAAATGTTGCCTGTTGTAAAACTAGGCAAATATCTAGATGAGTTGATTTACCCCCTGGAAGACCTCTGCATATCCCGGGTTGAGAACCACTGGGGTATGGGTTGGTGGCATGTGTGTGTGTGTTTATGGCTTTAAAAGTAAGCTAACTAGTGTCATGTGAAAACCTGGACATTTTCCCCAATTCCCTCCCCCTTAAGGACAGAGTGAGCACCTGCATACACTTAGTGGTGTTTACTCTGCACCAGTAAGAATGAATAAAATGATTTTAATAACATTATCCTGTTTGCGTGGCTTTTAACTGTAACAATTTAAAACGTAGCTGTATTACAAGTACTTTCTCCATTCATGGGTATAAAGGGTTAATCAGAACATAAAAAAGCATATCTACGTTGACAATACATGTGCTTTCTTTTTGGCTTTAAAATCAGGTATAAAGCACTGGTCTGATGTAAGAAAATTGATGCAAAAGTCCTTTCAGGACCCACATCCCCCAAGTTCCTGTGGCCAAAGGGCTAAGAACATTATCCTGCTGTGTCTGAAGTGAACTAAAGACGGGCACCTGTTTGGAATGTTTGTGGCTGCACCCAACACATGCACGTTGTCGCTTTGATTGCAAAAACATAAACCATCTACAGAGGCAGAATACAAGAATCAAAAGAAATGGAGTGACCTACTGCCTGTATTAGATGAGCAGTTGACCTGTTTGAGGGAAGATGGGAAAAATGGGATGATCTGATTTTAAAAATGGATTGACAGAACTTTTACAAATCCCTATGAATATTTACTTGAACACATAACTACAGCGCCTCCGTGCTGCCATATTCCCTATTTGTTATATTGGTTTCCTCTCTTTTAATACTTAAGGATGCCAACACTTCAGTTTATCTTTAAATACAAAGCCTACCCTTTGCTTTCTAAGAAAAAATGTGTAATAAAAATATAACACTTATCTCACAGATTATTAAAAATCCCTTTTA